TCCTTTGGAAAAAGGACTGTGGTTCTTGCCTTCTACATTTTAAAAACTCAGTGCAATTGTGCTTTTACTCACAACCACCATTTTGTAATATCAACGTGCGAAGGAAAAGATATCGCGTGAAAACACTCATATAGGAAAACTTTCTTCTCTCAGAAAGTAATGTGTATTAAAACTATTTCAGCCATCCCCAAACAAATCATTAATGATGCACAAATGTTAACTTACATGGATATTAACTTAAAATATCACCAAGCAAAGTTCACTGGGGTTGCGCAGAAAGATTTCTGGGTTGCTCTTTCATTCTTACTAGAATTGTGATACTTTCCATGTATGTAACTGGTCGGTTTCATAACCCCCATTCATGTCATAAAGAGTACTAGGAATGAACAGGAAACTCCAAACTCCAGTATTGTTTACTTGAAATTTGTTCTGTGTCACAAAGATCAGATTTCCACAAATCAGTATTACCTGGAAATTATAGCCCTAAAGAATTTCTAAAGAAGAAGACATTTTTAGAATGAGTTGATGGTTCACTCTTGAAATTTTAGAACTGGATAAAATGTATAAGCACTTTGTCCTAATGGCATGTGGAAAACAGTTTAAAATGACAGACGCTACGCCGGGTGTTAGTAAAGTCGTGAGAAAGTGGCTTGACGTAGTTGGGAATGAAGACATAAACAGTATCAGAGGCAAGAATGGAGTCTGATCTATTTCCTGCATTCTGTCCCATTTCATGAAGAAAGTTTCTATGTCTCTGTGAAATGATGACAACAGCTGATTAACATAAGGAGGAATTTATTAATTTATACAATATCTCTTTTAGTACGTAAACAGTTTGGTTTTGGAATATGTTGTTGGTCCCATTAAGGATTTCATACTGAACAACCAAAACAACGTCATTTCCTAAACAACACATGCCTTTTTTCTAATCAGTTAAGAAATGTTTTACGGTACCAATAGAAGACTTTATGGGAGAGGTAATCTGAATGTTTCCTATTCTGAGCAGCATTTACAGTATCCAGTCTCCTTAAGCCTCGGTCTCAGCCTTTTCATTCACAGGTGTGTGCAGAAGAAAAAAGGAACCACACACTCCAGGCCCGGCTCATGCCCTTTGATCAGACAAGGAGAAAAAGGTCTTTGCCATTTTCCTTTTAAAGCTAGTAAATTGGAATTAAGAGGCAAAGTGGTCCTGGTATTTATAACATCTTCTCAATTTCTCTTTGAGACTTTGGATTAATCTTCTCATGGTACCCCTGAAAGGAGCAATTTCTTGCTGATAGTATTATGGTAAAAGCATAAGCTCTGTGCTTAAACTGCCTGACTTTGAATCCTCTCTCCAGCATTCACCAGCTGTGGGTGGGAAATGGGAATAATAATACCACCTATTTTACAGGTTGTTAGGAAGAGAATGGGTTAGTGCAGTGGTTGGCAAACTGCGGCTCGAGAGCCACAGGAGGCTTGTGAGCCGCGGTTTGCCGCTCTGTTGACTAATGAATTTGCCGACCACTGGGTTAGTGGATGTAAAAATTAGTGGTTAAAATTGTTAGCCATTTTGTTGATGATAATGATAATGATTTTTAAAAATATATTTTATTAATTTTGTACAGAGAGGAAGAGAGAGGGATAGAGAGTTAGAAACATCGATGAGAGAGAGTCATCGATCAGCTGCCTCTTGCACACCCCCTACTGGGGATATGCCCGCAACCAAGGTACTACATGCCCTTGACCGGTATCGAACCCGGGACCTTTCAGTCCCCAAGCCGACGCTCTATCCATTGAGCCAAACCGGTTTCGGCTGATAATGACTTTTTGAGGGTGAATTTTACTTCATCAAGGGGCTCTGGGTATTTTACATTTTGATAGTTATACTTCCCAAACTTAGGAAGTCCTAGACTGAGATCCTTGAAAGAAGCAGTAATTCTGACCTGCCCACACCTTCAACATGACATGAGAAATTACAGGTTTCCTAAATCCCCACTCTCCTCCTTCCCCAGCTCCTAACGTGCTGACACAAGCAGGGGTCCCATTGGGCACCCAGCCGGGAATCCCCCTCCTTGCTGGGCCACTGAGAAGGGACATAGAAGGCAGCTCTGGAAGGAACAGGCAAAAAGAGGGTAAACTGCCAGTATTTTCTAGGATGCAAGGAAGCAAATTAGTGGGAATAGCTCACTAAGAATTATTTTACCTTGATTACATTTTAAATTGGTAATACTTTGTATAATTTGAGTGAAAGAAAATATATTGGTTAAAATGAATATCTGTTTCTTTTTATTTTTTGTTGTGTGGCTACTAGAAAGTTTTAGACTGTACATGTGGCTCACATTTGTGGCTCATGACCGCATGTGCTCTGGGAGAGGAACATGAGAATGTCCAAAGGTAACCACGAGTCTTTGCCTTGTCTGACAGTGTCCCCAGTTAGGATGTGTGGAAATGATCGCTGCCTCAGCGGGGAGACTGGAGCAGGCCATTTGTGACCGCAGTCTCAGTGTGGGCCAATAAACTAAAAGGATAAGGGGAAATGGTGTCCCATGGGGCACGTGATGAGCATTTTGAAACAACAGACTGTGTGCACCAAACTGTAGCTATGAGTTGTGAATTATCAGATAAGCTCCTCTAAGAAATAAATTGGGATAGTGTAACACTTCCTGAGGGTTAAAGTGCCGTGTAAATAAAGGAATAACAAGAACCAAGAATCTACTGACAAAATAATCTTCATCTAGCTCCTCCCATGCCATAAACAGGCAATCCTAATGAAAACACGGCTTCAGAGCCAACTCCTACTGCCCATTCCTTCTAACCAGATGCTTAGCTCCAAGCTCCTTCCATGTAGCAACTTTGGATCTGCCTCTGGCTTAGTGTTAAATGAAGGGGAGGCGTATATATATATATATATATATATATATATATATATATATATTCAAATATATCCAATCACATATATTTGGAAAGCAACATGTAGTGATGATGGAGTTCTCATGATAAAAGGAAAATTTACTTAAAAACACTGCCTTTGTCTTGGAAAATACAGTTTATGCAGTAGATCAGTCAGGCTCAGAGGGGAGACCCTTTCCTCCTGCTCTCTTCCTCTGCCGGGCCTAGGAAAGGAAAGAACAGTCCTTTCACACATTTCTGATTCCCTCTGAGCCCATCCCTAGGCTGTTGAAGTAGCTGAGAATCAGGAATATTTTTATATACATACTCACAAATAATAAATGATATCCTAAGGCCCACCTATCCAAGACAGGCATTCCCCAATTCTGAGACAGTTTATGTCTCCCAGGGTGAATTCTTAAGTTGTTTAATGGAACTTGAACTACTTTCTTTCATTTATACTTATTCTGCATCCTATTCCCAACCCTAAAAAGCTGATTTAGCTCCTAACATAATCTATAGATTTTTATCAGTAAAACATAACAAATTCACAGAAGCCATGTTGGTTTCTACCTCATAGCATTTCTGTTGCACAGACTTTCCTGCTGTAGGCGGGATGGGAATTGCAGCCTCCCACAGTCACGTGCTCCACCTCATTCCCTTCAAAGTGTACCTTACTGGCCAGCTGCTGCCCTGACAAAGGATGGGGCAGCAGGGAGGACAGTGAGGACCGGGGAGGAGAGAATTTCGCTGGGAAAGGGAGTTGATTTGGGGCAGGGAAGGGTCATATCCGGGCTTTTAGAACCCTGTGTCCTTTCCCACCCCTGAAGATGAGCGTATGAAGATAATAAAAAACAGGGGTGACGGTGGGAAGTAGGATAAAGTTACTTCTTCGGCTTCTACAGTTCAGACCGGCTAATGGCAGGCCCGGCCTGTCTTTTTTCCCCTCCAGGATCGTGGCAGGTGGGAGTCACTGACAACCATGCACTGCCTGTAGGGTCAGGCTTGTTCTTCTGAAGTTTAGGAAGTGGAGCTGCCTGAACTTCCAGTTTCCAAAACAGCCCGTGCTCAGACACATCCCAGGCTCTCTGTACACCGTAGGAGGCTCAAACTCACAGCATCACAAAACTAACTGCTGAGGTTGCCCCAAACCAGGACGGATCCCACCGGTCCCTAGGCTCCTTTCTTTCAGTTCCCCAGACAGGCTCTGGCCCGCCCGGCCAGGTCCTGGAGGCGCTGGACATGCCTACCTCTCCCACCCCTGAGACCGACCAGCCACTTCTGTTGTGGCGTGGGGCTCCAGCACGCAGTTATAAACCGATGAGCACCTGGGTGTATTTACAAAACGTCAAGATGTTTTGTAAGAAGACTGCAAATGCCTCCTCTTAGAGGGAACTGGTTCCTTGGCAACCAGCTTTTCCGCTCACTACCATTACAGATGTATTATGAATTTTCATGGCCACAAAGAGTTATGCTACCTATATGTAAATTGGGAAACCTGTAACTGAGGGTGAGGGTTGGGGATGCTGTTGAACTCTTCGAACAAATAATGAGGCTCTGACACTCTGCAACAGGCACCCTTCTATCGGGGCCATTCTCAGTGGCGGCTGGGATGCTCTGGGTTGGGTGCTGTTACCCGGGGGAGAAATAGCAGACAACGTATAGAGAACCAGCACCGGTGTGCAGAACGGGGTACCAGGAGGCAGACCGCAGCTCAGGGAAGTCAGATGTCACTGCCAACCGCTGAGAAGCGGAAGGGGCCACGCCAGGCTGGCAGTGGCTGGAGAGGGACACTCTAGGGGCTTTTGATTGTAGGATGAGGAGTGGGGCGGCTGAGTGAGTGGCAAGGCTCCCTGTCCCTGTATCACTGGGACTGTCTCACCATCTGAGAAACACTGGCCTAAGGAGGCCCTCACACCAGGATCGGGGAGGGGTGGAAGTGGGGTAAAGGTGAGAAGTGGCAGGGGAAGTGTGCAGACCTTGACAAATGAGGGCACCTTGGTGCAATGTTACAAAAGTTTGTGTGTGGCGGCAGAAAAGTGGGGGTGAGAGTGAGAGGGAAGAGCGTGAGAAGGCTGCCCGCCGCAGGGCTGGGCTGTGGACACCACGGGGGCGAGGGACTGGCTTACCGTGAAAGGCAAGGAGCAGACGGCGAAGGTGATGGTCATGATGGCCAGGAGAATGAGGTGGTCCGTCTCCTCCGCCACGGACACCCTTTCCCCTCTCCTGCGGGCGGCGGCGGGGCCCCGGCAGCTGCCCAGGGCGGGGGGCCCGCAGCGGCCCCTCCGGCCCCGGCGGTGCATGCGGACGAGGTTGAGGATGACGCTGAAGTTGCAGGCGAGCACGGCGAGGATGAGCAGCAGCAGCAGCGTGGCGTAGAGCTGCAGGTACACGGTGCGCCCGTGCCGGATGAAGCACCAGGTGCCGGGGCAGTACTGGACGTACTGGCCGTAGCTGAGCAGCGGCGGCGAGCAGAGGAGCAGGGACACGGCGTAGATGGCGGGCAGCACGGCCACGCCGCGGCGGCGCTTGACGTGGCGCTGGTAGAAGTAGGGGTGCCCGATGGCCAGGTAGCGCTCCAGGGCCATGGCGAAGAGCATGAGCATGGTGGCCAGGCTGAAGAAGGTCATGGAGAAGGCGAAGTAGCTGCAGACGCGGCGGCTCCCGGGCGCCAGGGCCACCAGGGTCTGGTTGCGCGCGTACGAGGCCAGCACCACGGGGCTGATGAGGCAGGTGCCCAGCAGGTCGGTGAGCACCAGCTCGGTCACCAGCACGTGGAACAGGGAGATGAAGTTCCCGCGGCAGGCGCTGCGCCCCGCGTCCCCCCGCCAGCGGCGCGCCAGCAGCGCCAGCGCGATCAGGTTGCCCAGCACCCCCGCCGCGAACATCACGGAGCTGATGGCCGGGCTCTCGCCCGCGGGCAGCCACCGCCGGGTCTCGCAGTCCTCGAACCGGGAGTCGTTGGAGGCGTTGCCCATGGCGGGGTGCCGGGAGCAGGGACGCGTCCTCCTCTCCCGGCTGGCACCTGGGACTGGGAGGAGGAGGAGGGGGAGGAGGAGGAGGACGGGGAGGAGGGGGAGGAGGAGGGAGGAGGGGAGGAGGGGGGAGGAGGAGGGTCTGGACGCGGGAGCGCCCCGGGAGCCGGAGGGAAAGAGGGAGGGATCTGAATCCAGAGCCCCCTTCCGGCCCCCGGAGCGCGCCGAGGGCAGGACCGGCCCGGCGCCCACAGCAGCTCGGCTGCAGCATCCAGGCGGCGCTGGGGGCTCCGCGGCCCGCGCCCCCGAGCCCGCCGCTCAGAGGGGCGCCTAGAGGGCTTCCTCCTCCTCCTCCTCCTCCTCCTCCTCCTCCTCCTCCTCCTCCTCCTCCTCCTCCTCCTCCTCCTCCTCCGCGCCGCCCGTGGGCGGCTGGGCGCGGGGTTAGCGCGCCGCCGACCCGGGGCACCGGGGGCACCGCGAGCCCCAAGGGAGAGGGGGCCGGGCACCGGCGGGCGCGGAGCCGGGCAGAGGCGCGCGGGCTCTGGGTGTCCGTGTCCGGGCGCTGCTGGCGGCCGGCGGGACCGTGCTCCTTCCTCCGCTCCCCGGGCGGCTGGTGCTGGGAGCCTGGGGTCCTCTGTCCCCCGCTAGGAAGCTTTCAGCCCGACAGAGGGCGAAGGCAGCAGCGGGGAGAGCAAAGCGATTCACCACACAGTGGAGAAGTCAGGGACACCCAGTTCCTTGGAGTTAAAAAGGACTAAGGACCGCTTGCAGTAAGATCAATATGTTCTTTTTTCCTTTTTTATTTATTATTTTTTTTATTTTTTTTTTTAGCATTCTCAGGAAGATGCACTAAGAGGGCGGGACCAAAATTGGGAGGAAGTGAAAAGCAAGTCTGTCTGTCCATCCAAGGAACATCCCACGCGTGCATGCCGCGGAGCCGCCTGTTGCACAGCATTTCACCTTTTCCTATGTCAACACCATAACGGATAACCACTTGGTTAAGCAACCATTGTGGGTTTTTTTGGTTTTGTTTTTTAAGGAAAAAAAAAAACCAAAAACCAACACCCCACAGTGTTGCTTGTGCTTGTGTAGAACTGTGTGAGCAGGGCTTTAAACTACTGCACGTTGTTCTCTACTCTAACTCCACCTTGAAAGAAAAGGCGGTGCAGCCATTGATTTTTTCAGTTAACCCATTCCTGGCAAAGTCTATCGGTTAAGTGGTCAGTTTAAAAGTCAAGCTGACAAAAATGGTTGCTTACCGTCTATTGCCATAATTGCAGAGTTGTGAAAATGGGCTGATGTTTAAAACAAAAGAAATCTAGTTTGACAGACAACATGGGTAATTGTATTCCTTTAAAAAAAAATACCCTCACCGGAGGGTATTTTTCCATTGATTTTTAGAGAGTGGAAGAGAGAGGGCAAGACAGAGAGAAATCGAATGGTTACCTCCCTAGCAAGCCCCGCCTTTGACTGGAATCAAAGTAGGACCCTTTGGTTGGCAGGCCTATGCTCTATCCACTGAGCAAAACTGGCCAGGGTAGTAATCCTATATAATAAAAATCTAATATGCTAAGTGTCCAGTCATCTGGCTGTCCATTCAACTAATCTAAGCGTACTATGCTAATGATATGGTAAGGCTACTAAACCACTCGCTATGAGGAGCTTCTGCCCTGACCACTAGGGGGCAGACAGTTGACAGGTTGAACAGTCACTATATGTGCACTGACCACCAGGGGCAGACACTCTGACCCGGAGGTTAGCTTGCTGCTGGGGTCTGGCCAATAGGGACTTAGCAGGAGGGCTGAACACGCCCTGGAACCCTCCCGCAGTTCCTCCCTGCCTGGCAAACCTCCTGCGTCCCTCTCTGACCCCGATTGTGCACCGGGGTCCTTCTTCCTGGCTTGAGCCAGGAATCCCTTGGGGGATGTTGGAAAGTCAGTTTCTGCTGATCCCACTCAATGCAGGAGCTGCCCTCTGGTGGTCAGTACTCTTCCATGGGGAGAGGGGGCGTTGCTCAGCCAGAAGCTGGACTCATGGCTGGCAAGCACAGTGGTGGTGGTGGGAGCACACCTCCATGGCAGCGCTAAGGATGTCCAACTGCCAGCTTAGGTCCGCTCTCCATGGAGCCAGCAGTCAGACATCCCCCGAGGGCTCCTGGACTGTGAGAGGGTACAGGCCAGGCTGAGGGACCCTCCCCCCACCCTTTCAGTGCCTCTAGTATCCTATATAATAAAAGCTTAGTATGCAAATTGTCCACTCCACAGGAATTCTTCCGGGAGTTAGACTAGGGGCTGGCCGACCAGGGGAAGGGAGAGAGGCCCCGGCCACAGCCAGCAGCCACTAGGGACCCTACCAGGGCACGGATTTAATGCACTGGGCCTCTAGTATTCTATCAGTCACATCCATTGGGGGAAGGGAGGAGGACAGAAAGGTGGAAGCCTCTGCATCGGGAACTGGCAAGGGAAAAAGATTCTTCATGTTGGAACAAGGGAAAGATTGCCTGCTGAAGAGCACACCTTACTAGAACCTACTTGTTCTCCATGCATATTTTAGCTCACATGAGTAATTCTGGCCTGGCGATTGGAATGGGATGGGATTCCCACCAGGTCAAACAAAGTGGGTCCGATTTTTCTCATGTAAGGTGTTCGTCAATGGCAGGTTGGTGGGCCTCTTGAACCCTTTCCTCCAGACCTCTCTGAGATTTGGGGGGTACAGAGCCACATTATCTAGGAACCCCCTGTGTTAACATCTAAACTCTCTTGTCCACCGTCCTTCCTTCACAGCCCGTGGGAGTTGTGTGGGGGAGATGTGGTGTAGCTTTGTTCTTCCTCATCTCCGACCTGGTCTCCGCTAGGCCTAGCCTTTCAGGTCATAAGCCAAGAACTGATGGCTTTGTTCCGTTCCGTTGTCCTTTCTCTGAGGCTGTAAGTGTAGGACGCCCCTGCTGCTGCTAAAACCAGGGAAAGGTCTCGAGTATCAGGAAGTTCTGGGCAAAAAAACCCCATAGGTTAGTATGTCGGATTAATATCCTGCCCCTTCGCATTCATGTAGGCTTGTGTACGTGGATTCAAGGCTCCGAGGGCTTTATTACAGCCTCACGGGGTTGTTTGAGAAACAGCCTGATAAAGCCTTTGCAAAACCCCGCGTCCTTTGCAAAACCCCTGCGTCGAGCAGGATGTGTTTTCCAAATGGACGTAGGAGCACAACAGCTCTCTTGTCTGCAGACAGGAACTATCAGAAAGGGAAAGCCACAACATGGCTTGTCAGCGCCAGGAGTTAGATCCAATGAGTCACTCCACTAAGGTCAAGAGGGCAAATTACCAGGGATTCTAATTTTCTTTTTGAGATTGACAGAGCACAAAACCCCCAATGTAATCATCAAACTCCTCTCAGAAAGGTTTGCTGCCAACGGTAGGACGAACAGTAAAGCAGCAAAGCACACATAACACAAAAATAAGGTTATGGTTATTCAGTCTGTGCAGAATCACAGCTCATTAAAGAAATTGTGGAAAAAGATGGATAAAAAAAGGAAGAAAAAGCCACCCTTGAATGTATTCATCAACAATCGCCACTCCTAACACTTTGATGTGTTGTTTATTTCTTCAATATTTCTTCTGTGCACATTTGTTTCCATGTGGTAATAATATTACTGAAAATTTTATACTGTCTTTAAAAAACTTAAAATTGTAATGAATAACTTACATTGCAATATGTGTAGATTCTGAGACCCAGAAATTGCATTTTCAGAAATCTTTAATCCATTAATTTGTTCACTCAGCAACAGTTCATTTTTTTGTTGTTTTTTTTAAAATTGATTTCGGATAGAGGAAGGGAGAGGGAAAGACAGAAACGTCAATGATGACAGTGAATCATAGATTGGCTGCCTCCTGCTGCCCCCTACCGGGGATGGAGCTGTGAATCTAAGATCTCCTGGTTCATAGATTGATGTTCAACCACTTAGCCACCGTGGCCAGACTCAGCAACAGTTTATTAAGGCATACATTGACTGAGACAGCACAGTATAGTTTTAAGAACTTGGTTTCTGGAGTCAGATTGCTTTGAATTCAAATTTTAGTTTTGTCCTTGGGCAAGTTGCCTCATTTCTATGTGCTTCAATGTCCTCATCTGTAATATGAGGGTAATGACAGTGCTTACTTCGAAGGTTGTGGTTGAACTCGGGGCCTGGCTCAAAGGAATCACTCAGCAGGTGTGGGCTATGTTATCACGGGGCCAGGTCCTGAGAAATGCTATATGTCCCTGCCCTAATGAAGCTCATCGTGAGATGATAATAATAAAAAAGGCTACAGTTTATTAAGAGCTTATATCCCCTAAGCTGATAGTCTTCGTATTCATTTTATCTCATTATTGTTTTTCTTTGTCTTTTTAAAATGTTATGTTCTGTTTTTTAAAATTGAAGTATGATTGACATGCAAAAAACTGCACATATTTAATGTATACATTCCTACTATGGCGAAAAGGTGAAGGAATTAGGCAGTACAGATTGGTCGTTACACAATAACCACAGGGATGTGGGTTACAGCATAGGGAATATGGTCAGTGATATGGGGCTAAGTATGCGTGGAGCCAGGTGGGTACTTGAAGCAGCTACTAGGACTTGCTATTTTCTCAAGCTCCTACCATCTCCATCTTGGAGGGAGGAATAAATGCTTCTGAAGAAGCCATGGCTCTTCATTTTGTTCTTGGTTCCAAGTAGCTTTGAGGCAAAACTAGGTTACAAGAAAGAGACTGGGGCTTTTGAAATTTAAATTTAACGAACAGATGAGAAAGTTTTGAGTGGACTCAGAGTTAAAGAGTGGCTGAGCCCAGAGGTAACTTGAGGACATCCAAAGCTAAACCCCATCTTCTCTTGCAATCGACATATCAGGAGACACACATTTCAAGCCCCAACTAGACCCATCTTTGTCCTGCCCAGATAGACCCATCATCAAATTAATCAAACATCGATGCTGCAAACTCTTCTCTTGCCTTGGGGCTCTCTGGAAACCAACCTTAACAGGATACCAAAAAAAAAAAACCAAACAAAAGACAAACCATGAAATGGGCCCATATCACTATTCTTTGGAATTTCAGGGGATAGTTATTAGATTGTAATTCCATGGCAGAAATATTAGGGATTTGAGAATAGTTTGCAGCCTTGATTTTCTTGTACCATCTTCCTCTCCATTGGACACTTCAATCCAAAAAGATTATATACTCAACACAAGAAAGTCTGTGTCATTTAAAAGCAGCACTAATGCCGAAACCGG